TATCTCTAAATTGTAGCAGGTACCCATCCTAAAGTTATAATAAATCCAGACAAAGTAATCGTGCAGTGAATGACTTCAGTGTTTTATATGAGGGCAAACAGATGAACAATGCAAGCACTGCCTTTATGTAATAATCACAGTCAAGACTGACCTCCAGCATTGGAATATTAAAGCTCATAAAATGTCATAATATAGTCTAGTACTTTCTTATTATCAGAATTAGAAAATGAAGATGACTTTATCATGAGTAGTATTACAGCTTGCTCATCCTTGATATTTTTCTCTATTTCTTTGCTATGTATGTTTTCTGATATTCCTATCTCTACATGTAACATTTCATGCAAAAACAGTTGTAGCCTTTTGGATTTTTGATACCTCAGTAGGCCAAATGATGTGGTTTGCTTTAGATACTGGTTTATCATTTCAGTTTAAGTTTCCTGATCATATGCAAGACCCTTTGTCGTGGCATAGCTTGTGTCTGTTAAGCTGTAAGTTTTTAAAAATTAGGAGGATCAGAATTGAATTTTTTTTGGAGTGACTGGATTAGTGAAATGATAAGCAGTTCAGAGCTAGTCAGAGAAAAAATGTTTAAAAGAGCCAAATGAGAAGCTTACAGCTGCTTTTAGCTGAAACTTTGGAGCCAGCGTCCCTCCTAGACTGCTCATCCTTGCCCCTGGGCTGACTCTGTCTTCTTCTCTCACCAACAGATATAAGCAGATACAAAAAGTCAGTGAACTTTACCTTGAAACCCTTATAAAAAGAGTGCATGCCAATAGCACTGATGGTATTGTCAGGCTTGTAGGTAAAGAAGCTCGTAAAAGCCTATTCTATGAAATGCCGTGAGCACTCATCCTCATGAAGTCAAAGAGAGTCAGAATCAGTTCAGATTTTATGGACCAAGCTCATCAGCTTCTAAGGTACCTACACTTTGTGTGACAGCACAGTCGCTTCTCTCGACCAATCATGGTTGCTTGCAAGCTATTCCTTGCATGTCTTCTGTTTAACAGGAACAATAGATTGCCATTGTCATAAATATGCGTAGTGCAAATATACCATGCTGTTTGTGATCTTGCAAGATCTAAAAGTATCATGTTCTTTCATTATGGAATTCAAAGATTATTTTTTCTTACATTACCATGGTAACAAAATGGCAACTGGGTTCCTATGTTCACTTTACATTAATAAAAGACTAAACGTTATAAGCAGTAGCAAATGTGTCCTATTAAACCTTCTTTCTCTACAATAAGAGGTGTTGTGTCTCTGTAAAAACATGAGGCTTGGAATTAATCTTTTGTTTTAATTGTTAAATAACTGTGGTTTTTAGACCTGCTTGTTCTTTTATATGAGTATAGTTAAAGGCAAGATCTACGGAGAACAGTAATTCTACGTTAGTCTAAAAGCAATGAAAGAAAAAAAATGCCCATGATCTGCAAGATGCCTATATATAAAACAGATCTCAATGTTCAGATCTTGAAGGATATTTAAAATTCTTCCTTAATTGTCTCAAACTATTAACATATTATTGCCTGCACTTTGCTGTGGCGCTTACAGAAAGATATAAAGGAAACCAAAAGTATTAATAGACAACAGCAACTCACTTTGTCCAGAGTGTAGGAGTAAAACAGGCTATAATTATTGTTTATTCCATTAGCCGGGGAATTGCTTTAATCATTTGCAAGATCTCAGGTCCTCCAGGCTGAGAGAATGAGAACAGATGCTGGAGGGAAATGAAACTCCAGGAGATTTTACCAAAGGCTATAAAGTTCTGGTGGGGATGGACACTGCTATACCCGGGGTAAAAGTCACCCTGAACACGTGCAACTCCTGACCGTAGTTTGCTCTTACTCGCGTTTTCTAGAAGTAGGAAGTGGTTGACAGCTTATAGGGTATAACCCTATGTATACCTTATATGGGTTGCTACCTTATAAAGTACAACGTTAGGTGTACTGTATAGGGGTTGATACCTTATAGAGCTCATGGAGCAGACTACTTAAGGATTTTATGAAAACAGGGTGAAACATTGTATCACTCATCTGAGTGACAATATTACCTGCTGGCATTGAAGGATCGACATATTGGGTATAGGTAGAGCTGGCAAGAAATTTTCTAGAAAATCTGTTCTTCCTTTAAAAATATTCATTTGCATAATTTTCCAATTTCAGTTTTCACTAGGAAAAGCAAATTCGACAGTCAGAATATTCAATTCCTAGTGCAAGGCATATGAGAACATTCTCATGTATACACCATATTTAAAGGAACATGACTAAGTCACACCCATGAAGGCAGAAAGGTCTGGTCTTTGGCATCCAATTTAAGGGAGAGATTGAGAGTTTAAAAGACACTCCATTACAATTTTCTGGAATAACAGGTTTTGATGTAAAAGTAAAAGTTAAGTATAGGCAAGTAGACCAAAGATGGTGACCAAAGTAGACAAACAGAGGGATAGCTGAGTCTCTTGTTGAAGCTCCTGTAAAACTTTGTAGACATGCTCACTGTATTTCTTGATTGCTGAATAACTGCCTATTTTAAAATGAACTACAATGTATTAATGTTTAAAATCATAGAATAATGTAGGTTGAGAGGGACCTCAGAAGGTCATCTCGTCCAACTTTCCATTCAAAGCAAGACTAACTTCCACATTTTATTTTGCCTGTATTTATGTCTCGATTCCTCAATAACTGTTGTCTATTGGTAATCCCAGTTTGGCCACACAAAAAATTATGGAAGAAACAGTAAATTGGAGGTATTCATATAACATGCTAGCTTCTTCCCAGTGCCCTGTCTAAAAACAACATAGGCTTGATGTACCAAACCTTGCTTATCTTTTGTATTTTATGAGAGAAGATACAACTCCTGCCAATAGACTTTGGGAGTGAAAAATTCCTCAGAGAGAGGAATGAAGAATTCCTCAGGAGAGAGCATGCAGATGAAATATCTGATGCCTGTGCTGTTAATAGAGCTCCAGGGAGCTCAGGGGTGGGGGGAGAGGGAGGGGGGCTTGACAGAATTCCTGTGCTTCTGAGCAGTCAGAACAACGAGTTCAGTATCTTTGAGGATGCTGCTGTACCCCCAGAGGTCAGATTTTCCATGGGAAGTAAACTCAGCAGACTTATGGACGCTCCAAATGCCCAAGCGTTTTGGGAATAGACCCAAATCCTTCCTGAAACACGATAATGATTGTCCTAAAAAAAAGTCATCTCTACAAATAGGAAATTCCCAGAAATCACCTGCCGAATAGGAAGAGTTTTACTTTTAAATGATACAATGAAATGAAAAGAGAATCAAAATCAGACCAATAAAGGAAAGTATCTTACAGATTTATCCAATTGTATTCCTAATAGTGGAATCAGTAGAGGCGTGGGACTAAGGTTCATTATGACTCCTTTCATTGTCATCAGGAGAAATTGGCACTTCTAATGTGCTCTTCATGCTCTTCATCTCACAAAAGTCTCCCTTGGGTCTACCTGAAGAGGGGGATTCTGTATGAGATTAAGACACCTACATTTTGGAGCTTGATACAGTTGCCTAAATATAGGAATCTAGTCCTACCTGGAATGCCTTAGGGCATCCTGCTTGGCTTCCAGCTGCAGTTGCGGAAGGGTGCGAGTGTCCTGTTTGTCCTTTGTCACATCTGCTAGCCTCATGAGGACTTCTGAGATATCCAAGGTACCACAAATAGCACTGGACACCGATGTATGGCCAACAGAGTTGAGCTCCTAATGGCTTGTCAGCTGAATAGCTGTCTTGCTTACACCATTGATGAGCTCACTGTTGACTTTAATAGGCGTTTAGACACATAGCACACTTGTAGACAACTACATTTAGTTTTCTTAATTTCCCACTGTAAGATGACTCATCATGTTTAAATGCAGATGTCTGCAGAATAGACATCAAAAAATAGATGAAATAAGTCCTATGGTGGGTGACCTGAATAGATGCCTGAATCAATTATTGCATAACAAGGGATTCACAATGCAATGTTTAAGGTAGCGGGTGAATAATTAAGAAAGTGGCAGCATCCTTTTGCACAGTACTGTAATGTTAAAACATTTGTCCAGGAAGGGAAACACCTGGTTTTTTAGCCACTTCCCAGTGTCAATGATCTTGAAACCAAAACCGAGGAGTGTGATGTGATCACTGCAGTATTGCTAAAGAATTGATTGATTAAGATGTTTCCAGCACTCTGAGGCTGAGGAGGACCTAAAAGCTTGGTCTCCCTTTTCCAAAGGTAGTTTTGAGATGTATTTCATGCTTTCAGTCAAAGTAGGGGTAGGCTAAACTCAATATATTGGGCCACTCTAGGAAATCAGTCAGATTCAGATGCTTCCGTGTTAACATCTGAACTTTTCCTAGCCAATGTGAAGCTAGTTCTAGCTGTGTATGAAATACTGTATGGTGGCATTTATGGAATTTTGTCATACAGAGGTGACAATAGAGGCAATAACTAAATTTAAGCACCTCTGCAGTCTGACAGCACGGTTAGCAGGTGATTTGAATCACTTACTCACTTACGCCTAACCATTTATCACGGCATTTAAGTCCACTGTAGGCACGGAAAAGAGCTCTGTGACTATAACCCTCTCAGACTTACTCATAGATTTATTATGCTGTGTAATAAATAAACGTGTAAAAGAGCATGGAGCAGAATATTTGTAGACAAAACTTTGTATGGAGCCACAGAAAAATCACATCAAAGACTAATGTTACATCTGAATGCCTGGTCTCAGGGAGGGTCATAGAATAAAAGAATAGCAGTATGATGCATTTTTGTTAGTTAGGATAAATAATCTGGGGATCTGGCCCATCCTTACAGATGTGTCTGATATGTCAACTTCAACAGATATAGCTATATGCTTTTGAAAGATATCCTCTAGAGGAGGGTGTGCCATATAATATGTTGCATAAACATTTAGTTTACTCTGTAAATTTTCCAAAATATTCCAAAAGATTGTCCTACATTTAGTTCTTGTGCTTAACCATGTCTTTTCATTTATTAATAGGCACCACAAGACCACATAAGGAGGGAGAAGTCCCTGGTGTGGACTATATTTTCATCACAGTTGAAGATTTTATGGAATTGGAGAAAAGTGGTGCTCTCTTAGAAAGTGGAACATATGAAGGTAAGCACACTTTTACTGCTAAATCTCATGTTTGCATTATGGTTTTTTTTTTTCTAAATTTATAGAATTGCATTGGGACATCCCATTCCAAATGTGTCATTGCTACTGTTATCAGAAATTTGTGAAGAGCCAGATGGCAATGATGAAAACAGTTTCATATTTAAAAGCTAAATGCAGATGGGTTCATTATATTTTAGTGTATTAAAACTGGCTAAGAAAAACAGGATAATACGTTGTAATTATAGGAAAGAAACACTAGTTCCTTGCACCAAATGCTTGAGGAAATTTCCACAAAATTTAAGCAAAAATAACTGCATTTCTAGCATAGGGCAAAGCAAAGTTTACAACAGAAATAAATTGTAAGGCTGATACTTTTCTCCTATGCTTGTGATACACAGTGTTCTTGCGAATACCAGTGTATATCAGAGGTTGAAACAGCACTATATAAGTAAACAGGAAGGTTTTGTGATGGCATGTCTTACAGGCTTCGTAAAGTTGTTGAAATGAATTCATTAATTTCGTAATATGACAAAGTAATAGGGACTGTCCTAATGGCTGTATTAGAAAATGTCTATTTGTGGGGCAAAGAGCTAGTAGTACCCTAGTGCAGAACAGGAGAGAGAAGAGAACTAATTGATTATTCATCTGATTGCAAACATTTTCCAAAGCATAGCTATCCCAAAAGTTAAACTACTGGGAACTGAAGGGCAGTTACACAGCATGGCATTGTAATAAAACCAGAAACTATGCTACACTTTTTTAAGTCATATTTTTCTTAGAAATAAACTAGTATTTAAGATAACTGAATAATGAATGGATCCTTTTATTGTTATCTCAATCCTGAAAGCAAAATTGCAGGCAACACCCTTTATGTGAAATATATGACCCATGCATGTAAGTATGCCTGGGTGAATAGAATCATTTATGGAAAACAGCCCCATGTTTTTACCTTGTAGTAGAAAATGCAGTGAAGACCTTTCTGTACTGACTTTGTCCCTATCAAGGAAAGCATCTGAAGATAAATAAGGAGCAATTTACACCAAAGAAAATCATTAGCTGTGTTATAAATAGCAGGAAAGAAGGTAATCCTTTCTCACCTAATCAGTACAAAGTACCCATTGGAAGGTAAATAAATTTTCATAAAGAGTTATATCAATACATACACTGTAACAAACATTTCCATTAAAGAAGGTCAAATACCAGGAAAATATATCTTCTTTTCCTTTCTTCCTTTTTTCCTCACAGTCTGACACCTAGTGGAAAAAGTTAGATAAACTTTAATACAAGGTCAACACCACACTATTACTTTTATGAGACATTCAATGAATATTAATCTTTTCTTGAAGATCTTTTTGTTAACTTAGGTGTTTGAAAGAGCATAAGTATAGTACAAGTCTGTCATTGCTTGACCATGTAATTTCATTCATTTATGGCAAGTTCTTAGAGATTGAACTGCTAGTTTAAATTAATTCATAATGTTGTCATGTCCCTCGGGGATACTGAGAGGTGTCTTAATACCAGCTACCAGAGCTGAGTGGGCAGCAAGCTGAAATGCTGGTTGGGGAAGGCTGCATAACTCCTGAAGCCTTCCGAGAATCTATCTGAAGAAAGGGCCAAAGTCATAACTACAGAATGATGTCCGTCACATCATTCTCTGATCACAGACGACAAGTTCACTGAAGCCAAAAGGTCATAAACTAAAGACAAACCAAAATAAACTCAACAAACCAGTTTCTGCACAGGTCCTGTCTTTGATGCCCAGGCTTCCCAATTAGCAGATATGCGCTCTGAGAAATAGTAGATAATGTGTTATCTACCTATATGTTATGACAGATAATAGATAGTGTATGAGAAAATACACCTGGTTTATGGATGCTGTATTTTCTGTTCCCGTACAGAGACTTCTGACAATATCCTTACTTACCTAAGTGATGTGCTCCATTTACCTGAGTAACCCCTCATGACTGTAGTAACTTCTTTAGGGAAGGATTTTGGTATTCAATCACAAGCTTTCCTGAGCATATTAAATCTTCAGTGATTGACTTTGCTTATGACAGTTGTACCCACCAGGGCAAAGAGATTTCCAATCCCCCTATATTCCTCAGGAGATGATTTTAGAATCCTTGTCTAGATCAACAACTCATGGGATCATGCTTGTTCAAAGAGCTGTATTGTCTCTCCTTACCAACACTGGTCATTAGGTCTCTGAGACAAATCAATCTTCTTTTAAATGATTCTCAGAGTTAATAGATTGGTTTGCACTTTTTTCTTCTTGAAAAGATCATTCTATATTTAGTTATGTTTCTACAGTTCAATTGAGTCAGTCCAATCTGACTTTCTAGCCATGGTCAGTATGTATCAGTTTGTCTCTAACAGGAAGATGTTTAGAAAAGGGGACTTGTCATTAACCTGAGATAAAAAGACAAACTCTGTGTAGGTGCATGTGTTGTCTTTCACCACTTCTTGAATATTAAGGTTTGACTTAGTCAGTTTACCTTCTACTGTATGAATTCCAAGGAGAATCAGAAACATCTCGGTAACACAGTGGAGAAAGAGGCCAAGTGGGGACTTATCTGATAAGAGTCTTTATATTGTTCAGTATAGTATTCAGTGTTGTTAGGAGTGGGGGAAAGGTTAGTATTACTCTGAGAAAAACATTCAGTGATTTTAGTTAGGAACTTCTTGTTCTGGTGCAAGCAAATAATAGTCGTGATTTCATCCATAGCAGGATAATAGCAAGATATAATTTAAAAGTGAAAACAGTATATATTCTCAGGGAATACTTCTCTGAGAATACTCTATGCTTCTTTCTTCTGAAGCACACATTATTTTTGAGTTTTAAAATAGATTTTAAGTTACAAAAGCTTTAGAATTAAAAATATCCAAGTTCTGAATTTGTAATAAAGTTCCAGTGAATTCTACCAATGCATTCCTACTTGGGGCAGAGGGAGTTTGCTTGAAGTACTCCAAATTCATTTATTTGGAAATTTCTTCACAACTTCTCAGACAAATCTTGAAGATTTTTCTTTGTGTTTTCATAGCAAAACCCCTGTTTACTCTACTGATTGAAGAAATCATAATTTGGCCCAGAGTGATAACATGTTTGGAAATAACATATATATTTCTGACATAGGTACTGGGTAAGGTAAAATAACAACAATTTTGTAACAGAGGAGGAAGTGTTTCTGCACAGCATTAAAGCCAGTCATCTCTCAAGCAAACTGATGCGACACAGAAGGACATCCCCCAGTAAAATAATTCAAGTTCCTTTTCCAGTTCTGGAATGAAGTCCCATATGGCCAGATTTATAGACAGTCTTTGAATTGGCATAATATGAACAAATCAGTAAAATACAGGAAACCATATCTAAAAAGACAGACTCTATATATGTGTTTGCTGTCTTTCACCACTTCTCAAATAGAAGGGTTGACTCAGTATACTGTCACCTCTCTGATATGTCAAAACTTATATGTAGACTTAATACATGGATCACTGACTTCATAGACCATTCCCATCTCCTTACTAGATCAGCAAAACTTCTTAGCCAGTGCAACATATCAGTAGATTTAAAATGTACTTGAAATGTATGTTGGGTAAGAATAGTAATGCTCGTAAACAAAAATGTAACAGCTTCGATATCTTTTCCAAAAAGTAGATGCGATCAGTCACTTGATTGAAAGTTAACGCTTGTAAGACATCATTATGAAGCATTAAAAAAAAATTAAGAGCCCTGTATGTTATGGGTAGAATTTCCTTTTAAAAGTAAAATATACAGTAGCAGTACTGGAAATAACAGGAATTGCTCAATGTATAGACACTTTATGAAAAAAAAAAACTTGTTGGTAATCTGGAAGAACATAAATGTGTTTCAAATATACAACAGCAAGAAGGATTTTAGCAGTGTGGAATTCTGTAGGAAATATAAACATAGAAAAATTTTTTCATATCTGTAAAGGATGTAGCAAAATTATGAAAATAAGTGAATTTAAGCAGCACAACTATGCGCCATGTAGAACTCTTTTTTTTTTGCCAGTTTTGTTTACTTCTGAAAACCTCTATAAATTTTGTTTAGCAAATACTCATAATTTGCTATTAATATAAGAATATTCCTTAATTTTATCCTGTGAATAGCAATCTCTTTAGTTACTGCAGCATTAATATTATGAAAAATCCACTTTTTGTCATTTGTTCGATTGTTTGGAATTATCCCAAATTCACTTACTGCTTAAGATTCAAAACTAGCTGAAGCTATATAATGACTTATATGATCAGGGACTTCTCTTGGGCCCACTGAAGTGCACTGAAGTCAGTGGTAAAATTCCAATTGGCTTAAATGTGGATAGGATTTCACCCATATTTTCTAACTGGTTGAGTATTACATAGCAGAAGGCTGAGTGTTAGTTGAAATTTCCTTATTAATCGAAAACTGTGAGTTAAGAAGTCCTTTAAAAAAATGGGTGAATACATTTCTTCAGTAAAACCTGAATGTTCCGTATTTCTTAACGCTTTCAATTGTTTTAGGAGCATTTTTAAAGGATTAGATTCCATGTTTTTGGTTGTATCATCATTTTTCAGCTCTCCTGGGAAAGTGAATGCGGGTTGAAGCTGAGGTCTTGCCGCTGGCTCTCTTCCCACACACTGGCAAGTGGGCGGCACCAGGAGATGTTTTGAGTCCATTCATCTGAGAGGTGCAGAAGGTCGTAAAAAAACAACATCCTGCCAAGGAAACTTTTAAGTTTTGTATAGGCCTTCACTCACTGTCATCTCCCAAGCCAGATTTAGCCTGTGCAGAGGCAAAATTCAGGCTAGAACTTTCTGTTCAGCTAGTGCCTTTTCAGTAGATATGTGATTTTACTGTGTTGCAAATTCAACGTATGAGTTAAGGGCTGCTCCACAAAGGCATGGAATTTTTAACCTCTGCGTTGTGGGGACAATGGTTATATAAAGAGATGGTGTTTGATTCCAGTGGCTTTGATTCCATTCCACCACGTAAAAAGCTG